ACGTAATTGGAGGGGGGCGGTGACTAGTAAAAGGGGGGCGGTAAATAGCAATCCACTTTCTTTAAACAACTTTTGAACTAGCTCGAGTGCAACTCATTTATTAATAGAGTTGAAACTTTTACGCATAGCTCATCAACGTCTCCTATAATAGCTCACCTCTTCCCTAAGAGGGTGTTTGTATATAGAATTTTTCAATTCATATTTAAAATCTACTTCAACTCATTATACTCAATATTATAGATATAATTGAATAATAACAATCAATCATTTTACATATCACATCAACTTTAATTCACTATTCATCAACTCACATAATTTTAACTAACCATCGCTTCACATCAGGTCTCTCCCACTTTTACATCAAATCAACTTTATTTATTTTATTTAATATTATTTTACTATAAACTTAAAAACCCAACTAAAACCTAAAAATACCATTTTTTTTCAAAATTGAAATTGATTAACAAAAATAAAAATAAAAATATATAACTCATTACTTAATTGCCTCATTAATTGTCTCCAAATCTCACTATTTATTACTATTCCATAAAACGGTTGGACACATCTTCAACATCGGTCCCAACATTATAAGTCGGTGAGAGAAAATGAGATTTGTATTTGTATCTTTTTTTTTTTTTCAAAATTGTATTTGTATCTTATAATCCGATAAAGTTTGTATGTATTTGTAGAGAGAGAGAGAGAGAGAGAGAGAGAGAGAGAGAGAGAGAATCGGAGAGTTGACTATTTGTACGTGGTTTTTAGTGGCTGATAACGGGATCCTTTTTTCACTCCCACCCCATTTTCCGGCGCACACAGTGAAGGTGAAATCCGCCGTGGCTGCCGCAATAAAGCTGCTCTCTATCTGTATAAAACATCTCCAGAGTTGTATTGTATGTATTTTGTATGTATGGTGAGTTTGCCATTGCCAAAAAAAAATCTGTTATTAAGATAATTTTGAAAAAAAAATTAAAATTTTAGCCCTTTTTGGTTCTTTCTGTGCTTGTTGCTGTGATTTTGGGAAATGGGGTTTCTCTCTCACACACTTAATCCCTGTAAGTGTTGCTAATTTGGTTTATTAAACAGCCCATTTGCTTGAATTAGGGCAAAAAAGAGAAGTAAAGATCGGATTTTTACGTTTTCTTGCGCTTGTATTTTGGATTCTTCTATTTTTTTTGGTTATCAAGTTCAAATTTTATTGATTTATTCTCTCTCTCTCTCTCTCTCTCTATCTCTCTCTCTCTCTCTGTGTGTGTCTCTCTGTACATGTATATGTTGCAGAGTGAAGGAAGGCTTTGGGGGCTTTTTGTGAATAAATAAAAGGGAGAAGGTTAAAGGAAAGGTAAGTTTTATTTTTTTCTAAATATTTTTTTTTTTATTTTTATTTTTTATTTTTTGTAGTTTTATTGTTCTCACAGTTTTCTATTTATTTTTAAATTCTTGTAAGGCTTCTGGATGTATAGTGATGAGATGAGATGAAAATCTTTAAAGTGGGCCTTTTTTTTTGGGATCATTTGCAGCCAATTTACCAAATTCTCTTTGAAGTTGAGATTAGAGGACCACACAAGGGTATTAGATTAGCTTATCTTGTATAAAGAGTCAAATTTAGATCTTGTTAGTATGTGTGTGTGTGTGTGTGTGTTTGTGTGTGTGTGTGTTGAGAAGTAAAAAGACAATTTTTGTTGGGTTTTTGCCTCTCCACTTAAAAATTTTCGAGTCCAACTCTAGCCGAGCTCGAGCATTTTGATTTCGAGTCGAGCTCGAGTATAATTTTTTATCGAGTCGAGCTCGAGCAGCTAAAAGAAAAAAATCAATCCTGCTCGATAAGGCCAATGCTCAACTCGACTTGGCTCGTTTGCAGTCCCACTTAGGAGTGGTGATCCATCACGAACAAAATTTTTTTCTTGGTAATGTTAAACTTCTCATTTTTCCAAGAGAGAAACTGAGATGTCTCAATAACCAAGATTGCCTTTTATTTTATTTTATATAATTTTCAATTATATAATTCAAAGTCAACATGAAGACCAGTGGGTTTTGGCTGGAAAGTTACAATCAAGATCAAGACCTTTTTTTTTTCATTACTCTAAAAAGTGTTGACTTTTATGAAATTGATATCTTGGTCACCTTTGTTGGTTGTATGCACGTATGAATCAAAATAAAGAATTTTATGATCTATTAAAGATATTCCACTTTTTTCCTTGATTTTTTTTAATTGATTTTTGAATTAAAATAGGTACATTTCATTTGTTTTTATTTTTTATTTATTTAGTTTCTTAGTTTCTATTTTATTTTTAATTTGTTTTTTGCAGTTTATGCTCATCTAGTTAATGTTTGCTTCACAATTGCTGAGGATTCTTCAAACCATCCCAAGTGATGATGTGAAGTATGACACCTGGTAAACTTACGTTGAGTTTGTTTATTTAAATGTCTTGCAAAAATGTTTGTATAATCAGAGTATATGATAAGTGTTATTATGCATATGTTTATGTTTGATGAACTTCTACTTTCGTTAAGAAGTTGCTCGGCAGTTAAATTTGATACGTTTTTCGTTCTTTTTCTCTGTTTTTACTTATTTTTTTGTCATCGCTCGATATTTCCCCTCGTAAGTTGTAATTCAGTTTTGATCGGTAAAGATAATTTCTTCTTTTTTTCTGACAGTGTTTCCTCCGAAGAAGACGCAACCATGAAAGAAACTCTGTGTTCAAAGCTTTTCGAATCCAATTTTGGCGGTAAAGAAGTCTACCCGTTAGATGGTATCCAAAGGGAAACTGATATCTTACACTTTGAGGAAAAGGGGAATTATGAAAGTTGGAACCCGAAATTCGTGGATGAATTCCCTTCGGACCATCAAAACGAACCCCAAAATCTAACCGGAAATGAATTTCAAGGTGGACCATTTTACCCTTCAGATTCTAACGAAAATCTGACGGCAGCTGAAGATTCCTCGAATATCAACAAAATTGAAGAAGTCAAAGATTTGGTTTTGTCCGAGTTAATCATTTGCTGTAACAAGGAGATCAACGTTCACGCTGTGAAGGACATTTGCATGGATGAAGGGCCGCCTCTGAGTGAGAGAAAAACGATCGAAATTAACGAAAACGAGCAGCCGCATGGTCGATTTTGCCCCTGTCCTCTCGAGGGAAATAGCTCTTGTGTGGCTAATGAGACGGAAAATTTTGCATCTGATGAATCAAATTCGTCGTCACTGAATTGCACGAAAGGTGTCAGCGGCGACGAGCGCGGGAGAGCGAAATTGTCATCCGAAAGTGATTCTGTTGGGGAATTAATGCCGAAAGTTGATACAAGTTGGGTTGAAACTGACAAGACTCGCAGCCATTGTTCGGCTGATCAGAATAATTCGTTTGTCGAACGAGCACTTCCGATTCAAGAATTCGGCACGAGGAGTTTTCTAAGGTCGTTTATTACTTCTTTAGACAGTGAAGGGAATAGTAAACGCGAACGGTTCTTGCCAGATCATCAGGTTTGTTTTTACCAATTTGTATTAGCTACTAGTGGTAATATTATATGATATCGAAGTGATTTCCAGTTTTGTCGAACTTTTTATATCGATTGCTATTTTTGGGTCCAGAAGGTCACTCTAAAGGAAAACGTGCAAACGAGCGTTTTACCTTACAATAGTAAAGTCGAAAGCAAGAGCATTACTTTCGATTTCGATCCCCCATTGTGCGAGGGGACAGCTGGCGGCATATTAAACGGCGAGCCAGAAAATTCAAATTCCTACAGATTTTCAGATTCCATTCAAGTCCAGAACACAGGCACTGAAGAGGGAGATGAAGAATCCTTACAAGTCGAAAATGGAGTTATCAATGGTAATGAAACAGTTGTGGACCAAGAAAAATATGAACATGATGACGAGTCGAGCTTTTCAAATGGCGGTTTTGTCCCTCAGTCGGGGCTGATACCGTTTTCCGGAAGCATCTCTTTTCGGTCGGACGGCAGTGCAACCAGTGGCAGATCTTTTGCTTTCCCAATGTAAGTAAACTCTCTCTCTCTCTCAAAATAAATAAAAATATAAAAGAAGATAAATAACAGCCATTTACAGTTAGCCCCCTTAATTTTCACACACAATACAAATGACAAAACAAAATAAAAGAATGCTTCGTAATTAGGCCAATTTCTCGGGTGGTTTACGCGATTTTCCCCTGCTTGATGGGTTTTGGTACAATACATTTTTGCATTTGCAGATTACAGTCCGAATGGGCCAGTAGCCCGGTTAGAATGACGAAAGCGGACGGCAGGCATTTAAGGAAGTCCAAGTTTTGGCGATCGGGCCTTCTATGCTGCAGATTCTAAACGGGCGTGGGCTTTTCGACTTATATATAGGTTCCTAGATGCATTGTTTCGAGTTTTAACCTGTGGCATTGTAATTATAAAATGTCGAACTTTCATGGGCCTGGTTGTTTTTTTTAACTATATACGACCTCTTTAGTCATGCCGAGCTAGGATTTGAAGACGGGCATCAAACCGGGCTTCTTCTTCTTCTTCTATTATTATTATTATTTATTCATTGAATTTTTAAAGCTTTGCTGGTTGATCAATTTACATGTGACACATTTTTCAGATTAATAATGTGCTGTGCTTTTGGGAAAATTTTGAGATTGTACTTGATAACTAGAGAGGTACTTTCCTGTGTACATAAATCCTAAGATCATCCTACGTCTGTTTAGTATAAATGTTTCACTTGTGCATATCATAAAATTGGCTCATGACATTCAAATATATGTGAACTTTTGTCTAGAAAATGTTACATGCAATTTTTCTCTCTAACATTTATAGGCTTTAGAGGGCAAAGGGACCAAAATGAATTATTCAAACACCAATAAATAAATGTTAGTTACATCTCGACCCGGCCTTTGCATCATGGCCCAACTTCCGGGTATTCATCACCCAATGTCCAAAAAAAAAATAAATAAATAAATAAATGCCCTTCAACTACAAATCCTTATTTATTTGTAGGTTTACAAAGTTTTTTATTTTTAATTACAACTTGATATAGTACATATGAGTAGCTTGCTAAACCTGTAAAGGTTAGCTCGACTTATATACCGGATTTAGCGAGGATGGTTGGTTTAGAAGCAACACAATAATATCGGTAGCTCGGGCACAAAGACATAATGCCAGTAGCTCGGCATACAAGTAGCATGGACACAAGCATTAGTATTGGTAGTGATAGTACTCTTGCACCCCGAACCGGTCCTCCTCCGTTCCTCAACCGCTTTGAGCTCCCAATACCTGCAAAGACGCCAGGAGGTGCTCCCGACGGTAAACCTCCGACGCTCAAGTCAGTAAAGAGTATAAAAAAACTGTATGTAATTGTAGGTAGTATTAGAGTTTGTAGAGTGTGATTAACCTCACATTCTTCCCCTAATTTACCTATTTATATGAATTTGTTAGCTTTTCCCGTACGTTTTTCTCTTCGTCCGCCCGATCATTTATTTCATTTTAATCTTGACACTCCACGTGTCCTTCATGAGCTACTGTCCATAACCGTTCCACTTGCTCGGTCTTCCGTGGGCTTCTGTTCGCCATTATCCAGCTGCTCGGTCTTTCATGAGCTTTTGCTTGCGACTGTCCCACTTACTCAGTTTCCCGTGGACTTCTGCTCGCTATTATTCCCTCTGCTCGGCCTTTCAGGTACCTCTGCTCGCAACTATCCCACTTCCTCAGTCTTTATAGATCCCTGTTCGTCATATCCGAACTACACCTAGCCGAGCTACTTGCTTTACCGAACTCCCTGCCCGTCGACCACTATCTAGCTGGGCTACTAACAGTCTTTTGCTACGAAAGCCGAGCTGTCACTTAACAGACTCCGAGCTCAATTAACTCCGACTCGCTAAACCGACCAAGTCTCTTCCGGTTCACCAAGATATTATCATGTGCTATATCAGGTAGATTGGCACAAAAGTAGTTCGGATAATGTTAGCTCGATAGGTTAGAGCTCGGTTAATATTGAGCTCAGTATGAGTTGGGTAAGACATCTAATAGTAGGGAGCCAACTTGATTAGAAGGAGGACTGACCTATAGAGGAGGTCGAGTACATGTTCATAAGGAACACATGTACGGTCAGGATAAAAAAAAAGAACTGAACAATCTGACGGACAAAAATGGAGTGTATTCATGAAGCTAATAATTCTCTATAAATAAGTAAAATGAGGAGAAGGTAAAGGTTAATCACACTCTATACACTCTAAGTTATTCCATACAGTTCTAAACAACTTTCTTCGACCCTTTAATGACTTAATCGTTGAAGGATTAGTGCCCAGAATATCTCCCAACGACTTTGTAGGTCTCTGGGGAGCAAGATGGTCGAGGATTGTTGCAAAGTCCGGCTCGAGGTGCGAGAGCACATCAATTGACACTGTTATGTAGTGTAATTCTGTTTCTCTACTGGTTGTAGAGGAAGCTAGGATGGAGCAGACGATGGCGAAAAAGGAGAGGTTGCAGAGGAAATTGCGTGAGAGCCTGGAGAAGGTTTGGGTAGCAAAAAACGCCCTACGGAAGAGGACCACCGACAAGATGGGTCGGGGTTGAGGGTGCGCTGGTTACCCTACCATTACTTTACAGGGGGTGGACCAGAGCCTGATGCTAGAGCCAGATCGGGGTGTGATAGATCAGGGGAAAGGCAAGGAGGTAGGCACCCAAATTAACCTTGCTTAAAAATATGTAGTAATGTAAGTAAGGTTCGTATCCACGAGAAGAAGTAAACTAAATCTATCAACTATGTGATTAAAAAGGGAGGATTTGATTTAATAATCTAACTAACCTAGAAATTATCTACACTACCAAATAAATAAAAATAAATAAAATAAAACTAGATAAGAAAAAAATAAATATAATATGAATTTGCCTTATTTTCACCCTAGCTTGTTCCACTTATCATTGATGCAAAATATAAATTCATAATCCACGCAACTGCCGTTGAATATAAATTCTATCTCCTAATTTAGTCACACAAAATAAATCATTCTACGAGACTCTTATAACTAGTTAATTCTCAACATCGTGAAGAATTATTCCAACAATAGCACTAAATACAAGAGATCGACAGTCCAAGCAATATAGTAACGCGTTCAATTGTTTCGCCTAAGGACGACAACGCCTAAATCCGGTCGATTATCTATCTTAGTTGATTCTAGTGAAAGACACATGATCTAAATCTGACTCAAGTATCAATCAAACAATAAATCGTACACGTAGAACAATAAGTTGTCAATCTGTCAACTAAGCATAACGATCATAAAAATATGCACACAACACATTAATGCGAAAAATATATGAATTGGAATAAAAGTTAATTTGATCTCAGAGTAGTAGGCTCAGGGTTTGATCGTTTTCAACCAAGAAAAGAAAAAGATAAATTAGCCGCGCAGAGCTATCATAATCAAAAGAAAAGAAAAAGAAAAATAATGAAGAGGAGAGTACGAACTAGGGCAGCCCCTGATGTTGTGCTATGTCCGTATGCTACTTGCGCGAGTTTTTTTTTTTTATCCCAAATATGTTATCCTAGCCTGCGACTGGTGTATAGGTTAGACAATATATTTTTGGGTTTAATCGTTAAACTAGGCCCAATTGAGAAGTTTGTTCCAAAATAATATCAACATGGCCATGTTGCATTTAAAATGTAATACTGACACTACCATGTTAGTTATTGCTGGGACTATCAAAGCCAATGTTCAAACTGCTCAAATTCGTCAACATGCACAAAAATTCAAAAATCGATAGATTCCAGTCGAAAATAGAAAATAATGTCAAAAATATGCGAATTGAACTCAAATAGTTAATATAAAAACTAAAATCCCCACATATTTTTGATTTATCAAGGTTATTAATGCAAGTGTAAGCGTCCGGATCCGGTTTGGAGTAGATCGATTCTTGTCCTTGCCGGTAGAACGCCGAGAACCTGCAAATAACTCTCACACCGGGGGTTGGGTCCGGTGAAGAGCCTCCGATGCTTAAGTCAGTATGTGTATGAGTATACTGGAGTTTAGAGAATGAATAGAATGTGTTAAGGAAGAAAGACTCATCCCCTTTTTATAGGGGTGAGATACCTGCCCTAATAGCTGCCCGGATGAGGATACGTGTGCTGCCCAAGCTGCCCGTCCGTACTCTGACACGCCGCGCACATGTCAGGGGTGCCGCGGGACGTTTGGGCGTTGTCAGAGGTGGTTATCGCTATCACCCAATACATTGCCGACACGTGTCCACCCAGCACATGGGGTAAATATTCTCCTGCAGCTCAGTCAGAGACCCTCACGCGCGTCTGCTACACACGCGTCTGGGCCTATGTTGATCAGCTTGCTCGATCACCCAACTTGCTCGATCACTGGTCTGATCGATTAGCAGGTAGCTCGACCAGTCTGATCGAGCATCGGGCTGCTCGATCACCTGTGCAGTCAAGCCTCGGGTTGTTCGATCACTTGTGTGGTCGAGCCTTAGGCCGCTCGACCACGTGGACTCCCGCCTTTCGGCTCGGTTCACTTCCGGTTTGTCCTTCTCGACCGGCTCACCAAATCGGCTCGTCTTTATACAGATAATATCCTATATCAGCTATTGCTCAGACGCCGATCATGGGAGCTACGACATGAGGTAGTGAGCAGGTGATTCAGCTGACTAGGGGGGAGCTTGATCGGATTATTGCGGAAGGGGTTGGTAGGATAATAGTCACACAGCCTCAGGTGGTGGTGGAGAAATCAGCAGCGATGGTTGAGCACTAGAGCCGATGGTGGAGCTACCGACAGGAAAAATGCAATATGTGCTTCCGATGGTGGAGCAGCACATCCCGGTGGTCTCTAGGCCAGTGGGATGTGGGAGCATAAGGCGAGAGGAGCGGAAGGAGAGGTCTATTGCATCTTTGATGGTTAACAGACCACCGAGAGATGTAGCATCGGAGCGTATGGCGAATAAAATCAAGGAGTTACAGGCTAGGGTGGAGGGGCGACGACAGACATGAGTTCAGGCCCACCCATTATCTGATGCATCTTGGATGCTGATCTACCTCAGAATTTCAGAGCCAAGCATTTTCTACGATGGTTCATAAGATTCAGCTAGGCATTTGAGGAGTTTTGAGGGTGTGTCGGTGTTGCATCGATATAGTGATGTGGTTTGCTGCAGGGCCTTTTTTACGACCTTGAAGGGTTTTACTCAAGATCGGTCACATCAGCTGTAGGGCAGCACAGAGGGCTTTAACGGCCCAATTTTTTTTACCATTGGTGGGTCATGGGTTTTGAGAATGAACCCTGGCAGCGCGAGCCAAGGCCACGACGATATGTGGGGTGAGAAATTCACCGACGATG